TTTTTTTTATTATAGCTTATGTTACTGTATAATTAATGTATAAATTAGTACTTTTTAAGATAATTCTTATTGTATAATGTTTTATTAGAGCTTAAGTTACCGTATAATTAGTGTATAAATTAGTACATTTTAAGATGTTTATTGTATAACTATACTGTGTCACCAATTAGCACCTTGCTAGTCAGGAGCTAGATCCCTAACAGACACATAAATAAAGTTTCATCATCATCATCATCATCATCATCTTCCACAATCAAAATGCACCGAGAGAGTTTGGCACGGGTCGTAGACTTCCTCGCAGAGGGTCTTCTCGTATTTTGCTTTCAAGTGGAGATGAAATTTGTAGTGTTAGTTCTTGGGTTGGGAGAAAAAACCCCAAAACCCTAAGAAAAAAAAAACTGCTCAAGGGACCACAAATCATGAGTAAAACCTGTGCCATCACTCCAACTTGCCGCGTCACTTGCGCTGTTACGTTAAAGCTGGGATGGAAAATTTCTTAACCTTGCAGTGGCAGTTGACTCGAAACGTCATTTCGCTGGGTTGTTACGCAACACACACACTGTGAAAAGAAAGCGCTGGCTAATAGCTCGAAGAGAAGAGAGTACCGTACACGAGAAAAGTGACATCGGTTCTTCGACCGAAGACTTGTAAGATATTCTGGAACGCGATGACTGACCTTGATCCAGTGTATAAACTGTCGATTAGCCATCGATCGACTTATTGTCAATCGATACTGATCTTTTTAATAGCATTGCATAGAAATTGTATTTGTTAATTAAGTTTAAAGATTCACCAATACATTCACCCATTTTAACCCTGACCAGAATTACACGAGTTCTTAGTAAATGAAGTTTACATATTCATTTAATTTAAAATGCAGTTCAGTTTGGATTACAGACAAGAAGTGTATGACACATTCCCGCTTAAACGCGGCTCTAATTATGCCTAGTTCGTGAACTTTGAAGGACACTGGAAATGTGGTTCGAAGGCAGCAAAATATTTAATAGACTTTGATCAGACATACGCGAACCAACATGGCTCAAAGTGTGGTGTGGTAGCTCTGTTGAACTGTCCTGATAAAAGCGCTGCGAGGTTCGAACTCAAATTCTCCTAACCTCCACTGCTTATTTTCTTGGCTCACTAAAGAGACAGCTAAGCAGGGTGGAGTCATTTTTAGGATTATTTAGAACAAATGATCAGTAGATCAGCAATAAAAAAAAAAATAAAAAAAAAAAAAGCATAAACCGAAAAAGGACAAGGACGACCAGAGATAGCGAAAAATTTACTCGGATTTCAAAATGACCAACCTGCAAAAATTTGTGCTTAATTCTTAAGACAAAGAGGCCTATAAAAATACTCGAGTCTTATCTATGTGAACTCCCGGAGTCTTTCATTACATTTCGAAGTTCTAATCCATGTACCATACACAAACAATGTACCAAGCACAACGTAAAGCCTCTCACCATAGAGTCTGTCTTTAATTGTTTTTAATCATTTAGGCCTTCTCGCGCACGAATTATATTCACTTATCGATTGAGGGCCCAGTTATTTCAGCGCAAGTGCTTAATGGATTGGTAACCACTAGATGGTCCAAAAAAAAAAAAACAAACATTAGTTTGTAAGACTTGTGACTGCTTTTTGAGCCGCGTCGTCCATATCATCTGCTAGGATCAGCGGCATTCCACTGTCTCTGAGAATCCGTTTGGCCTCTTCCACATTTGTACCTTTGTATTAAAATGAAGACGAGTTAGTAAGAATTGTCCCACGCAATATACGTGACATTAGACCTGTCAGAATGCAAACTTCTCCTCAGCGACCGTATCAGGAGGAAGCGCGGCACAACCGGCTTAAAAAGCGGGAAAACTATTGCTTTGTTCCCGATTGTAAACGACAGAAGATATACGACCGAGCAAAATGCGTCTTCAGTCAGTTAACTTATGAGAATGGAAGCATGGCGCCATCAACTAGCGAAAAAAGCGGGAAAACTGTTGAGACACGATGCAACATAACTGACCAATCAGAACGCGATTTTCTGCCGACTAACCAAACAGAACGCGTGGCACTGTAAGACAAAAAGTTGGGAAACCTATCGCAGCGCTTCTTATGATACAAGATAAATTACCAATTAGAATTCGACTATTTTAGCAACCACAAGTAACAAATCAGAGAGTTGCGTGGTATCATCCACCAGTCAGCAGGAAAGGGGGGAAAGCTATCCACTGGTAATGTTCCCGGTGAAACGATTCAAATATACACAGTACATCTTCACTTACAGCGATTACCGCGATAAACATCAAAACGAAGAGAGTTAAAACGTACCTTCTAACCGCAACACTACAGGAACATTAACCTTGAGTTTCTTGTACGCTGAAGTTATTCCATCTGCTACAGTGGCACAGTTAACGATGCCGCCAAATATATTCACAAGAATAGATTTTACCTTAAAAGAGAAACAGACCCCAAAGTAGCTCTAAATGCTTCTGGATTGAGTGCCGTGGCTGCTATCGAAGTTTGTGTGTAACAAAAGCAACATCAACAACAACAATATAAACAAAAACAACGTGGGTATCAAAGTTGTTACTCACTCTAGGGTCCTTTGTTACAATGTTGAAAGCTTGAAATACTCCTTCTTCCTTCACGCCACCCCCGAGATCTAAGAAGTTCGCTGGGGTACCCCCGTGAAGTTTGATAATATCCATAGTTGCCATTGCTAAGCCAGCGCCATTAACTAGGAATCAAACAGTAAGAATTGTATGAAGATTCTCGGTCATAACCCTGGGATCTAACTGAAGTCCATGAGAACAGGAAGAGTCGTGCTTACTACAACTCAGGTATCTCTTAAACCCTTAACTTCAGAGAGGGACTAGAATCTAATTTCTACTTAAACTAGCACCCTTGAGTTGTATGAGAAAGTCAACTAAAGAAGCTCTTGGTTGTTTTACACTTTATTCTTTTTAACATGTAAAGATGAAACAATTTTTAGTGTAATAGAAAAATCCGAGCCCCAGATGGGACTTGAACCCACGACCCTCCGTATCTAGTCGGATGCTCTAACCACTGAGCTACTGGAGACTCTATGGAGAGCAAGGGTCAATTTGTGGGCCTCGACTGGAACCGCATCGCGCGGCTACAAAGCCAAGTATTGGTAAGCGCCTGTGAAACTCACTAACAGCATCATGCTGTCACATTAAAGCATATCAAGATGTTCTTTTTAACAACACAGGAAATGTGAAAAAAACGGTGTGGGGAATATGCAAGGATTAACTTAAAGAAATAACTAGCTATGTGGAAAACAGGATGGGGGTAGGTTTAAGAAATGCCTAAAATTGATCGGGTTCAACTGTATTGAAAATGAACCAAATTACGCGAAAGAGCATCCAAATACTGCTGTAGACTGCAATCGTATTGGCCACCATAGCGAGAAGAAAAGTATCTTGGCGACTTAACTTACGGTTTAAGTCGACAATTTGACGACCTGTGTCTAGCGGTCACGTATTTACGCCCCAATATCAGTATACATATTCTTCATACCGTTTTCCATACATTTCCTAAGACGCTGACAAGGAGAATTTGTTTAACAACTAAGAGCTTCATCAGTTGGTGATCATTTCCTTGATTCTTGCGACCTTGATGTGTGATTCAGGGGTGATATCTTAGAGAGAAATTAGATCAAAGTGCTTGTCACTCTTGGGTGTCCAACAGTTAAGGGCATTAAGTAAAAGCTGCAGTGATATTTCATATTTGTGGAGGTGTATTTGTCTGCCAGAACACTGTCCTTACCAAGACAGGCAATGTTCCCATCCAGACCAATATAATTGAGGTCATATTTTCCAGCCTCCACCTCGCGTGGATCGCTTTCAGTCTGATCATCCATAGCAAACACTTCCTTCTGTCGAAACCTGGCACTGTCGTCAAAGTTGAACTTGGCATCAAAGCAAACAACTGAAACAATTTCAAATCACACGTTCTTTTCAATACATATGATATTTAACAAAACCCCATACTCAAAAAAGCTTTGACCAGTATTTCAAAGTAGTGTAGAATATTTGCCCTAGTGTTGCATACCTTTGCCATCAGGTGTTTCACCAAAAGGATTAATTTCTACTTGTGTCGCATCAACTTTAAGAAACAGCTTATAAAGTGCCTTTATCTGTTCTGCGGCCTGCAAGACACAAACAGAAGTGCTACTAGCAAATTACTCATTAAAATCAGAATAAGGAAGACTTCCACTGGTCCAAATGAGCTTGTGCAATATACTTTGTACACTAAAACCAATCACGACTTGGTCACCGCTTTTTCCCCGCTTGGTAACTCGTGTTTTCCCGCGCTTGGTCACCGGTGTTTTCCCGCGCTTGGTCACCCCCGTCTTTCCGCGCTTGGTTACCCGCGTTTTCCCGCGCTTTTGCCAGTTTGGTTGTTTTTAGTTTGAGTTCTCATTGGCTCTTTGGAGTATATTCCACCCTTATGATTGGCCGCTGTGATTACTTTTGTTTACGTTTAACAACACTTTATCAAAAAGTGCTCCAATCTACTAATTTGCGATTTGTTTTCACATTGCGTCCTCTAGTGTCTTAAGGGCTGAAAGTTTCTAAAAAAACTGGTGCTGCTTCGGTGGGGGTAACAAGGTAATTTGGTTATATCAACTAAGTTGAAATTGTAAATTGGCCACCGTAACGAATACGGTGGCCAATTCACAATTTCAACTTAGTTGATATAACCAAATTACTCTAGTGTCTTAGTTGTGCCGTGTAACAAATCACTTAAATCGGCTCCGTCTCTAGAAACATTGAGATTCCTGGGGAAACATAATCACCTGTTTCGCAGGGGACCACTCGTTACGTGTTTATTAATACATGTACATGTACTTTTGTCCATTAACCTACTTCTTCTAACAAAGGTCCTTGAAATTCTAATTTCTCGGCGAGGTATCTTGCATCTGTATCAGTTATCCCCTGAAAGATGTCAACAGCAACCTGTAGATGAAAGAAGTTAAGACAATTTTCACTATGTCTTGCATGATGGAGCAGTGTTGAAAGAAATCCGAGATTGTATTGGTTTTACTTTTCTTCGCTGTGATTGGTCAGGAAAACTCGCGCTCTCTCTCAACCAATCAGATGCAAAACTTAACCCAGTCCCACCTGGGTTGCTCACGTCTTCCCTTCCGCGCTTGGTTGACAGTTTGGTTAGTTTTACTCTATGTTCTCATTGGCTCTTAAAGGTATTTTTCTTTCTTCTGATTGGCTTTTGCGATCACCTTGGCTTTAGTCTTACGAAACTCAATCGACAAACGCAGGCGGTAGTTTGTGTTTTCAAGCACGAGATTCCGCGCGGCGAATATTCCGTCGCCATACTGGACGGATGGAATAATTGGGACGAGTGACAAAGCGAGGGGGATGGGGGAGGGGGAGAAAAACCTGGTTCTTCTCCCCTTACCCCTCTACCTTGCTTTGACACGCGTCCACGATCTTCCACCCCGCTGAATCTCGCGCTTGAAAACACAAACTACCGTCTGCTAGCAGGCTACAAGCGCTCACATGTAAGATTGATGCTGATCAGGTTTTTAAGTTAGGATGGTCAATATTACCTTGTGTATATGTTCAGGTGTTTTTTCTGCGACTTCCTCAATATCTACACCACCTTTGGGACTTCCAACAATGACGGGTCCTTGATAAGCTCTGTCCATTAAAATGGCTAAATAGGTCTCACGCGAAATGTCATAACTCTCTGCTACCATAACCTGCCAAAACATCAGTAATCAGACAATTCTCAGTGTATTCCTGTTAGTGCTATTAATTCACACATCAAAACATTGGCTAGCCTTATAATAGGCCATTTCCAAATTACCTTTTGCACAAGCACTCCTCCAGGAGGTGTTTGTTTTGTTGTTAAGTTGTATCCCACCATCTGGTCTGTCAATTTACCAATTTTCTCTGGACTGAATGTAAAAGCAAATGAAATACATGAATAAAAAATGATAAAAAATAAATGAGCACAAAGTAAAAAATAGGCCACTTGTCTGTTATGATGGTTACTGTTGCATTTGCAGGTAAGACACAAGAGAAAAATACACAGAAATTTAAAAAAAAAAATTGAAAAATGGATTCTTACCCTTTTTACCTTATCAAAGAAAAAAAAACAACTTTACAAGTATACTTCATGAGAAACAATATAATATTGTTAAACACTAACTTACTCTGACGTCAAATGTACACCACCCTGCAAGCCACTTGTGAATGTTCCCTTGCCCCGACCACCAGCAAGGATTTGTGCTTTTAGTACAAATTCTTTAGCATCTACAAAATTACAACAGACAATATTGTTAATGACAGTTGGTACTATTTAAATATTAGGGTTGTGGTGAGAAAATACAATAGGTGCATAATCTGAACTGAGTGGCTAACTGAATTGAATTATGCTTAGCATGTAACATGCCCACCCTTATAGGAGGGTCCCAAAGCATGCTCTCCTGGAAATTTTGACATTTGAAACCCTCTGAGATAAGATTTCCAACATTCATGGGCATATTTGAATATATCTTTTTAGCCAGACATTTATGTCTGTCTTTGACCACATTTAACAAAGTAGCTCATGTATTAGTACTCCACAATGAAATTACTTATTGATCACTCCTCGGGAGGAAAGGGTTCACTAAATACCTTTTGTAACACGGTAAGAACGCCTGAGTATCAGGGACTTTAAAATTAGCTATTTTCAGTGAAATACACCTATATACAGGTCGTGATACAGATTCTCACTTTAATCATAGACTAGCATCAAAACTACTTACTTATGAAGATGAACCCTCATTAAATTATGAATGGTAATGGTATTTAGTGCCTTAAATAATACACATACTTTGATTGGTTTATACATATGATCTACTAGAGAACAGATACATAGATAGCGTCACCATCAACACATTTTGCCTCTTCAATACATAAAAAAAAAAGATTCTACGTTGTCATGGTTCTTTTCAGCAATAGATCACAGATGATGTCAAAATGCAGAAAGTACACCAGGATCACATACAGCTGGGCCTTGTATGCCAATTTTGTTGTTCTTACGACATTTTGATATCATTTGCATTCTATCACTGAACAGACACACAACGACATTGAATTTATTTGTTAAAATGTGATACAATTTTCTTTACTGATGACTTACTCAATTCCTTAGCAATTGCAACTGCTTCTTTACCAGTTTCTGCAACTTTAAATCTCTGTACATGAAGGCCATTGTCTGCCATTAGTTTTTTGCTCTGGAATTCTTGGAGATTCAGCCATCTGACTGGAGTAACATTAACTGCACTGGCCTAGAAATAAACACAAGATCAAACAAGACTGCGTAAAAAAAAAACAGACCCGAGTAAATGCTTGCAAACATAACAAAAAACACTGATGAGCCATTTAATACAGTCTAAATCTAGAAATGTTTATGGCCTTCAATTTGCTTTAGCCAAATCATTAACATCTCAGAAAGGGAACTAAGAAATTCCTTAGTCTCATAGGGGAAAGTGCTTGGAAAAGAGAGTCAAGGCTCATCTTTCACTCTTGTAGTGACAAGCAAAAGTGGAGGAAACAAATAGGCCATTTTACAGTTGTGTACTTAGTTGCCAAGCCTTTGATTCAGAGTGAGGCTAAAGATGACCTTGTTGTGATAGAGACCTGTATCTAGTTAGCATGATAACAAAGTGATTTACATTTGAAAGGCAGCAAGGGTTGTATCATAACAAGGTCATCCCTAGCCTCACTCCCATTCAAAGGCTTGGCAACCAAGCACACAACTGTAAAATGGACTATTATCATGCAGGTCCTGCTGGATAGCAACTTATCCATTGGAGAGCATTATTTGCCCCTTTACACAACTGGATCCAAAATAATGTTCAAGCCCTCCAACTCCAGAAGACTCCATCAATCTAGTTTTCACCAAATCATAAACATTAGAGGAGTCAAGTAAGATTCCCATCAGTACCCTNGCTTCTGGTCTCCACAACTAAGGGGGGGCAATGAGGTCAATTTTTGCTGTGTGTGTACCACTGGCCTCTCAAAAGTCCTTCCCAATAGACCTTTTTACAGTTGTAGGCTTTGGGGCCAAGCCTTTGAACAGGAGTGAGGCTAAGGGTGACCTTGTTATGATACAGATGTTGCTGCTTTTCAAATGCAAATTTCTTTGTTATCATGCTAACTAGATATTGGTTTCTATCACATGTCACCCTCAGCCTCACTTCAAATCAAAGGCTTGGCAACTAAGTACACAACTGTAAAATGGTCTATTGCCCTCTTTTCTGTAGCCAGTCATATATCCTGTCTTGGTCAGTTTGGTAATACGGTAACAACTTCTTAACGTTGAAATCTTCACCTTTTCTTAATCCTTCCCGACAGACTGCACAACCCCCAAATCCTGAAAAATGTGCAACCCCAATCTGGAAAACCCCAATCTGGAAAATATAATCCCATTATAGTCAATCCAATTGTGAAAATGCAACCCATTCAGCAGTACATCTCTATAAGCCTATTACTAGGAAGTCCCCCCTGCCCCAGGCACAACTCTCCTTTCGACTTTTTCGGTAGCTAAAACAGCCTAAAACAGACGTCTTGTAAGTTATTTGAAATCAGGTGTAAATTCGATTCACAATCCAAGGTAAGCCCGTAAGCGTGTTACTTTGTTACTCTGATCTAGCAAGGCACAAGAAGAATTGTGACCGATAGCCAGCCCCCAATATCACTTCCAAGAAAGTTGCCACGCATGCATGCAAGCATTCAAATAAAGTAACCTTACCACAAAAAACAACATTTTACGCTCAATGAACAACTTTTAGTCATCATGGAAATGAAGTTAAACTAAAAATATAAATTCACACTCACCTGGGAAGATCGAAGCCAAAATCTGTTGGTTAGCCCCGCACACTTTCTGCAAATTGAGCTCATAGTTCCAAAAAGGGGTAAGGCCGCCATGTTGAATTCTGAAGGAACGATAGGATGAGCATGCGTGTATAATGAACCAGCTGTAAGTAGTACTTTCGGCATTGCGGGCGCTTTCAGTTGTCTTGCGACTTGCGAAGTCGCAAAGACGAAAAGCAGGCTGGATTGACTGTCGGCTGGACTGAGGCTAGAATTTGATATCCGGTGATTTACGAAATCGCCAACGATACTGTCGATGCAGAGAGCCAGTTGTCACGCGTTTGGATTTGCAGATGCCTAGACGCTATTTTAAATTTTGAGAAAGAACACAAATTTTGAACAATCTCTGGTGACGAAGAAATTGTACCAAGTTCTGTGAAATCAACAGGAACTCGTTTCGTTCAGAAATTATCAATTAAGATATCACTAACTTTCTAAGAAACTGTTTTACCAAGGATAACGATACGATGAGGTTATAGCAAGCATGTATGATGGATTGGATAAGCCGTTATTTGGCGAGGCAAGACCAAGGGTAAGTAAAAGTATTATAGAATCGACGAGGTTTCCGGTTATGAAACGAATCGCGATCAAGTCGGTACTTAAGTTCTTAAATCACGAGTTGTTAGCAGTTGGAAAATGTTACGATCGAATAACATAACTTTGACAACACTTTGAACAGCTTTTCAGTACCAAGCCTCAAACGTTTCTTTTTTTTTACTGTATTTTAAAAATACCACTGATCGGTGAAGCAAGTTGCTACGTATCTTTAATGTTGCAAAGTTCAATTCAATGTAATCAATTGATTATTTTGGCGAATTTCTTGTAAACTTCATTAAGAAAAAAATAGCCAAGTCATTGTCTCTAAATTTTTTATTCAAGGTTTTCTTTTCCTTTTTTTGAAACTTTTCGATTTTTTTTGGCAGGATCGCTGCTTTAATTATGTGGTCGGAGCAGTCACGGTGATTTTAGTATGTGTAAGTACAAGTATTTTTCAATCGTGACATCATTCATGGATCATAGCTGAGCTTTGAATCATAAGTCATGTGACTTTTGTTCTAATCATCGCTCCAAAACTCGCGGAGATTTTCCCAGTATTTTACATGGTTACTGGCAGTGGAAGATAATGATAATAATAATAATAATAATAGTAATAGAGTATTTATATAACGCTAGTTTCCTCAAAGTTCAAAAGCGCTTAACAAGAGTGACACAATTGTAAAATTAGAAAAACGCTTTTTTAAAAAGAAAAGTTTTAAGTTTGTTTTTAAAACGGACACTGAGGAGCTGTTCATGATATCGAACGGCATAGTGTTCCAGAGTGTGGGGGCAGCTACAGAAAAAGATGTTGCACCGTATGTCTTCAAATTAAAATGAGGAATCACAAGGAGATTTTTAGATGATGAACGCAGTTAACGAGCTGGAACGTAAGGTGTGAGTAGATCAAGAATTACGATGGTGCAAGATTGTTAAGAGCTTTGCACGTAATGAGTAGAATTTTAAACACAAGATTATAGTATTCTTTCCAAATGAGTTGTTCGTAACGACCCCTTCCCCTCCACTCTGACTTAATGAACAACTGAAACTGAAAACCAACCAAAAATTAAAATTTTCCAAAGCCACCTTTGACATGAAAAAAGGTTAATCCTTGAAGTCCCACGTGTGACAAGACAGAATTTCTCCTTGCATTATTGGAGCAATATTGAGCAGACGAGTGATAAGAAAAAAGAAAAGGATTATAAGTTGATCGAATACTGAATTCTCTAACTACCATTATAAGACTTATTTAAGTTCACACAGCAGCCAGGTGGACAATTAGACATAGTCTGATGCCACTCTGGTTTAAAGATTTAATGAAAGTGAGTGAAATTATGATTCACCAGCGCAATGTTTCGGCACTCCTGTCTAGTTTCTTTAGTTAAATCATTAAGTCATACAGGATTTTTCTCACACCAAAATAGATTCTTCTTATCACCAAAGTACATTTCTTCTCAAACTTTTATTAGTTACCAATAACAATCCTTTAGGCCAATGGAGAAAATTTATTAAAATAGAAATAAATCCATCTTTTGCAGGAGACCTTGATTAGCTCCTTGGTGTTCCCAGCTTTCCCACCCAAGGCAATCAATGTCTTCCTTGCTTCTATTATCTCAATGATCTGCATATCAGAACTCACTCTGGTAAGTCACTTGAAACACTGCTCTATGCTGTTACAATTTTGCTGGGCATAGTGAGGATAAAATAATTTCCTCAAATAACTCACTTTCATTGTTGAGTAAACTGCTCTCTTGTCAGCCTTTATTTGCTATAATTTGCATTAGACACTTACTAATTGTTTTCCATTTCTTCATGATTAGAAAAAATTATGAAGACTGCAGTTTGAATTTTCATGCATGTAGATAACTAATAAAGGCCTTAATGACCTTTGCCATCCTGCTAAAAGAGAATTCAGCTGTTATTAAATTACTTTAAACTGTTGACAGTAAATTTAGATGACAAAGCTTCCACCAGTAAAAAAAATTATACATAAACATTGTGGGCTATAGTTATGACAAAACCTAGAGAATTAGCTACATTCTACATGCACTCATCAGAGTTGAAATATATATATCTTATTAACCAAGTGTGAGGGCGGTACTGGGAGAATATCGGCCCGAGGTCTTGACAGTACAGACCAAGCGCAGCAAGGTCCATACAAAAAAGACCGAGGGCCTATATTCTTCCAGTATGGTCCCGAGCAAGCTTGGTTAATAAGAGATTTATTATACGACTAAAGTTCAAAGGGACACAAGTACGGTATCATTCGGGACCATTCGGGACAGTGCCCGGTCCAATACTGAGAGAATATTGACTGGCTATAGAGCATTGTGATTGGTTGATTTTAGTTATTGGCCCTCTGACTGCCTGAGTCGTGTAATAATAAGACTTATTTTATTGCTACTGTAATTATCTTACAGATTTATTGGTACAGACAAGGAGATGTTGATCCCAAGTTTCGAAAGCTGATCTACTTCAACTCATTTACAACTATTTTGTTGTGTATATGTGCAAATGTCTACTTTCACAAGAAATTCAAGGAAGACGATTAAATATGTGAATTTCAAAACTTCTGATCTACAAAATGAGCTATTTATTTTGAATGCATTACATCCCTTTCTTCTTCTTTAGATATTTAATAAGCATGTGTCGTGTCTAATGTGTTAATTGTGCATAGCTCTTGCTACTTATGAAGGGCACCATGTTAATGTTGGTGCATGTGCTATTGAGAAATTCAGCTGTACGTGACCATTAGACTGTGATGTTGTAATAACACTGTGATGTTGTAATAACACTGTGATGTTGTAATAACACTGTGATGTTGTAATGAAAGCAATATATTAAATAATTTTTCTAAGTAACTTTGATCCTAGCAACAAAGTTGTGCTCATAATTAAGTCCAATCTCTAAGAATTGTTGCCAAATCACTCTTAATAATGAATTGCACTGTTTACCTTGGTTCTAATTTTGTAGTCTGTGATTAGTGTCAATGAAAGATTTGGACGGTGCTTCTCTGAGGTAAACAATTTATCATTAGGTTTAGTCCAGATGAAAGACAATTCATAGTCAAGTGTTTTCTTTGCAACATATACTTAACATAGAAAATCTGTTACTCTTTTGTTGATGGATCTGTAAAACCATAAGTGTAACCGATTTACATTTTACTTGACTTTTGGCAGCATTAAGTTTGTACTTAGATATTATCTTATGCCTACAGTGTCATAGCTAGAAAGGAAAGTCATTTGCTCTTAGAAAATAATCATCATTATTTCCATACACTTGTGAAGAAGTTTATCTTGTTTACCTTGGACAATATGTGAAATTTCATTCATTCGCCTCTTACATTAGTCTTTGACATCTTTGCAGGATAATATATTGACCATTTTGGTTGATGTAGAAGAAACAATTAAAAGTTTAGGCCAAACTTCATGGCATTTGGAAATAAATCAAAATATTTTTTTTAAAGACATTATATTAAACTTTGTTGGTGAAAATAAAGTTGTCAAAGAATTGAATATCAGGTATTATGCCTGTTGTGCTTAAATCCACCCTATTAAATATCATGTGCGAGTTTGGGTGCACAAATCAGAAGGTTTGGAGTTTGGCTCCTTTTGGGGAAGCCTAATGTTTCCTTTACCCTTGCTGATGACGCACAACTTAGTCAAAAATTTTTCTTCGGTTGACAAACCTAGCTCTAATTTCACCCTTGTTCCTAGATCTCTATTCATTAGGCCTCATGTCAAAATAACAAGAAGTGGTGAAAACAAAGGGAAGGAGGTCACAAAACAAACTGCAATAGACTGGAGGCCCTGTGCATAACTTTCATTCCCTTACAGCATACTTCATCCCATAGTTGTTAAATCTAGAGACCTGGTTCCGAGCAGCTACTTTTCATGCATTACTACACGACGTGCGTGTTTTTTCAAAATTTTTCAAATGTTTGGTTTTTTGTTTGTCATCAACTGACAAGGTTGTAGACGAAACTAGTTTTGAAGTTTTCGCAGTAGTGTGTTGAAAGTAGAAGTTAGTTGGAGTTTGTTCACTTACATGGTTAATATGGAGTTGTTAAATCAAGTCACTTTTACCTGTGCAGGGTGACCCTTTTTGCACTAAGCCAGTATCAACAGGGGCCCTGCCTGACTCCACCCAGAGGATTGCTGAAACATTAGTCCCAATGTACTGAAAAGAAACGTTACGGTAACTTGCATTCCTGGGCCGCATTATTAAAAGCTGGCTTAAGATAACTCAGCGCTGGTGTGAAATCTGATTTCAGATCTAAAAGCTTTTGAAAAGGAAATTCAGTTTAATTCTTTTTGCCTAGGATTTGATAATTGGATACCCTAAAAGAATAGAGAAATTTATCTGAGAATGGGTGTTGAACAAAGGAATAAAGAAACCCAGATTAAACTTAGCGCTAGGTTGGTGCTAATTGGCCTTTGGGAGAGTAACATATCTGATGCTGGATTTAACTGATTATTAAGTAAAAATAGTTAAGAAAGAACAAAGTATGGGTACATGATTCCATTTTGAATCAGAATGTTATTTCATCCAAAGGACATCTTTATTTTCTATAAGTGATATTTTTGAATACATCAAAATGGTACTGTTTACAAAGAGTGTCTTAAATAACTTCGTTTTGTAACCTTACATTGATCTTCAGTAGAAATGAAAGAGTTTGTTGTTACTAAAAAAGATGAAAAGGTTTATGACTGTTGTTACATGTTTATGACTCGGCTGAGTTTCTGGATTCTGTTTAGGAGAAGATCCCCCTGTTTTATGGTGGCCTGGGAGGAAAAGCACAACATATCAAAGTTGGAGTTAAACTTTTCTCTCATGAACTAAACAAAGAACATTAAGTAAATCATGAGTGACATTGAAAAAACTATTGACAACAAGTAGCTCTGTGGAGAGTAGTGATGGCCCATCGCTCCCTTAGCCACTTGACATATGCTTGTAGGTTGCTGCACAACCTTGAACACCCTCTCAATCCCAGATGAGATCAACAGGCTAAGTCCCCAAACAATGTTTATACACTGCACACTATCCATTAAATTAAAAGTTGGAAAATTTATCTGCTTAAAGTTTATCTTGAAAAACACTAAGTTCTCTTGACTAATTTAAAAGAAAATTTATGGCAGTTATAGAGAATTTAGTTACTGATCAGGTAGTAAGATGTATTGGATTGTTGAGAGAACCCACTTTCCAAAATATCCAAAGGCCATCAGAGTCCCCAATAAAATGAAAGTCATTTCCAATATAGCTGACTCAGCATGCAAGACAATGAAAGAAATCCTGACTTCTGACTGGCTGCAAAAATCATCTTGTCAGCATTCCAGTTTCGAGCCCAAAAAAATGCTTATAACCTGCTTACAAACTGCAAGACTTCTGGGCTTTTTTTAACTATGGACCAAATTGGAAATCATACTTCTTCCCTAATTATTTGGACACATATAAATAATCAACCTTTCATAATGTTAACCAACTCTGCTCCACAAAGACTCTTAAATCTTTCATTCTTACAAGTCAATATAGCCATCTTTCATTCTTACAAGTCAATATAGCCATCTTTCATTCTTACAAGTCAATATAGCCATCTTTCATTCTTACAAGTCAATATAGCCATCTTTCATTCTTACAAGTCAATATAGCAATCTTAACCTTAAATGAGAAGTATTTATTTTCATTCTACTCAACACATACCTGGTACTGCCAATTCTTATGATCAGGCCTGCAAAATTGACAAACGAATGTTACTATGTACTTGTAACATTATCATTGATCATAAATTAGGTATTCTAATTAGCCTAAGGGCAGCATAAATCAAAATACCGTAAAGGAAAATATAAAAGAAACATACATTTTCGCTTTGTTATTAAAAGAATGACAGCTGTCGACAACCCTTTCACTCCCATAAGTGACCAAGACAAAATTTCTCCTAACAATATTAATACAATATCAACCAGACAAGTGATGAGAACATAGAAAAACAACAATTAGGGGATTATTGATCCAATACCAAATTCTCCAAACTAACATCATAAGAATTGTATGACAGACAGTAAGGAGAATTACTAAATGAGATTTTGGAAGTGATGTTCTAACTATATTTCAGACAGACAGAGAGAGACAGAGAGAGAGAAAGAGACAGAGAGAGAGAGAGAGAGACAGAGAGAGAGAGAGACAGAGAGACAGAGAGAGAGAGAGAGAGAGACAGAAATTCAGTTTTGGCTGGTGGTTTTTTCAATTGATAACCCATCTTTGATTATTACTTGTCAAGCAGTTCTTACCTATTAGTTTCCACAACTCCTCCAACTTTGTCAATTTTACAGTTCAGTCTCCCTGCTGCAATGAATCGTGATAGTTCCCTGACAAAAAGAAACAAAAAGAAAGAGAGAGAGAGAGAGAAATTCAGTTTTGGCTGGTGGTTTTCAATTTTCAACAGCCAGTTTGGCCAGTAAACAAACTGAAATTGTTGTAACATCTATGTTGTCACTAGCCATTTGGCTGGTAAGTTGAAAAGTTAGTGTCTAGCCCTGAAATGAATGGAAAAATGGGGCCAATTCCAATTGGGAAACCTAATCTTGTTCCAGTTAGCATAGGTTTTAAGTTCACCCACTTCTACTGTCTTGCACTGACTTGGGCAAGACAAACCAAACAAATTGTGGCAAAGAGTCGTCGAAAGAGAACTGAATTAATTCCAAACTAAAATAGCCATGACCAGCAACAAAGGATAGGGCAGCCTGGAGGCCAGGCAAAAACTGAGCAACAATGGTATTTCTCTTACCTGTCAATAAATTCCTTGCTAACCCCAAAGGCATTAGCCATATATTGTAAAGTAAGACTGCGGTAGGACTCCAGCAGCTGTGTGTAGGCCTGAATTCGCATCTCTCTGACATAGTATCGGCAGTGTGGTGCTAGCAACCTATCCTGCTTCAAGAAGTCCTCAATTTTTGCTATAAAAGGTGAAAAAAAGGAGTTTATCACATCATTAAGAAATGTTACG